AGTCACACCGGCCTGCCGCCAAACCTTCACCCCGTGGTCAGACCTTGCGTTTCTCCGGGCAGAAGTGCCCCTGGAACAGGTCTCCAGGCATGCTGTGGTTTACACAGATGCCTCCACCACTGGCTGGGGGGCCATGTACAATGGGCATGCAGTGTCGGGGGTTTGGACGGGCCCCAACTGCACTGGCACATCAACTGCCTAGAGTTGTTAGCAGTACGTCTTGCCTTACACAGTCTCAGAGGGCGCTTATGAGGTAAGCACGTGCTGGTCCGCACGGACAACACTGCGACTGTTGCGTACATCAACTGACAAGGTGGTCTATGCTCCCGTCGCATGCCGCACCTCGCCCGCCACCTCTTCCTCTGGAGTCAGAAGCCCCTGAGGTCGCTTCGTGCCATTTACATTCCGGGCCTGCACAACCGTGCAGCCGACGAGCTGTAACAAGCTGCGCTCCCTGGAGAGTGGAGACTCCATCCCCAGACGCTGTGCAAGGTCAGGGAGGACGAGGAGCAGGTCCTGCTTGTGGCGCCATATTGGCCCACTCAGACCTGGTTCCTGGAACTAATGCTCCTCATGACAGCTCCTCCCTGGCAGATTCATCTTGAGGAAGGATCTACTGACTCAGAGACGGGGCACCCTGTGGCACCCACGTCCAGACCTCTGGAAACTTCATGTCTGGTCCCTGGATGGGGCGCGGAGGTTCTAGGTGACCTACCCCAGAAGGTAGTTGACACCATCATTTCGACAAGAGCACTGTCTACGAGACACGCTTACGCCTTGAAGTGGAACTTGTTCGTCGAGTGGTGTTCTCGCTGAGAAGACCCCCGGAGATGCCCGATCAGGGTCATGCTTTCCTTTTTGCAGCAAGGGTTGGAGCAAAGGCTGTCTCCCTCCACCCTTAAAGTCTATGTCGCTGCAATTGCCGCTAACCATGATCCCGTAGAAGGGAAATTGGTAGGGAAGAATGACCTGGTCATCAGGTTCCTTAGGGGGTGAGAAGGTTAAATCCTCCCTGGCCCCACTCTATACCCTCTTGGGACCTGACTCTAGTGCTCAAAGCTCTACAGCAGGGCCCGTTTGGTCCTTCATAGTCAGTTGAGCTAAAGGTTCTATCACTGAAACTCTGCTTCTGCTTGAACTGGCCTCCATCAAGAGTTTAGGGGACCTGCACGCATTTTCGGTCGACGATTCATGCCTAGAGTTTGGGCCGGCTGACTCCCAGGTAATCCTGAGGCCCCGGC